CAAAGTCCAATCTGAAAGTTTTACAGCCTTATGAAACTTTTTGAAAAGGTTCCCGACTGTGATTCACGACAATTGACTCGAACCTTACGATCTTGTTCTGGAGGTAAAACGTACTTGTCTTTGGCATCAAAATGTTTTTTAGTAGTGATTCATGAACATGGACTGATGCATAAATCCCTGTCGACAAACCCCAAATGGATTTTAATCTTTCCCAAACACAACTTGCAATATCAAGAGGCGTCGTGCGGCAACTAGACTCCAATCTAAAAGTCAACATGCCAATACGAAGGTACATCTTCCTGCCTGAGGGCTAGGGAGATTATCAGGAAATTTAAAACAAACAAATACATTCGTTTCACGGCAAGTAAGTCAAGGTCAGTAGTGGAGCATTCGTTCGTGGGTCACTTTGACCCAACTGTTGTTGTGTCAATAGATAATGCTTACTGTCATGGGGCCGAAATTGAAACAGCAGGTGCAGTCATATTACATTCAAAGTGGCAAACGCGTAGAGCTTGCGTCCTCAGGAATGCAGATAACGGCCAGTCATGTACCTACATGTAATTCAAACTTGCGTAACATGGTGTAAGTACACTCATAGTTGTTCTTGAGGTCCGTCAATACTACAACATGCTTTCCGATAAGATTGAATTACGTGCAATACCTGGTTTGCTGCTTTTACAACCCTGGCGAATAAGGACACATTTATATCCCGTCTATAATAATCAAATACAGCGTTGTATCCACTGAATACATTACATGAAATATACATTTATACCCCCGAACTAAAAAAGTATTTAATTATATGTGTCACTGCAAGAAATATGAGAATATGATTGTACGGGATGAACCTATGCCAACATATTAAAATTGCATTATATACAACATGAAAGGGGGCTGTCGAAATACATGGAGATGAAGTTTATGTCTTCCAAATACGTCTTCATTAAACATGTGTACTGACTGTCTCCTATATTTAACGACCTGTGAAGATCCGGGGTAGAATAGGTCTTCAGCAACCCATGCTTGCCGTAAATTGCGACTATGCTTTTCGGGAGAGGCGACTAATGGGATCGGTGGTCAGGCTCGGTTGATGGACGTCATCGATCCCAATTGTGTGGATCGATGCTCATGATATCAATCACTGGATTGTCTGGTCCAGACTCAATTATTTACAGACCGCCGTCATATAGCTGGACAATATGGTCATATTAAACCAACCTATATTAAACCCCACACACAAGCAGTAACACGATAACCCTTGTCACACAATGACATAGATCGTTTTGATAACATGCCTTCGCAGTTGTATTCACTGGGTTTAGTTCCTGGCGTTATCTGTGCAAGCTTTGCTCATTTCCAGTGCTGATATCACGTTCAATGTCGGTTTGTTCAAGCAGGTTCAACGAATCGATAGGGAAAACAACCTAAAGACTAGGTGTGCACACAGACGGTGTTGCGAAACACAAAGGTTACCAACTGGCTTTGTTTCCCCGAGGAGAGGAGAAACGTGATAGCCCTCAGCGCGTACTTATTGTTTGGACGTGTAACACCTAGAGCGAAACATGCCTCTACTTTAACACGTATTTCTTTTGATATCATAATGCTATGTGTTTAAGTGTACAATACTTTACTCGAGTAAATTGACATAAGTGAGTGAGTGAGAGGAGTTTAACGCCGCTTTTAGCAATATTCCAGCATAACTTGACGGGAGACACCAGCAATTTACTTCAAACACTGTACCATTGGGGATCAAACCAGAAACAGTGACGAGCGAATGCTTTAACCACTAGGCTACCCTACCGCAACCCTAAATGTCACAAGGCAGACTCCATGTGTCACAGTATATTTCACTGAATGTTCACGTTATATAACAAGAAGGATCATTACATGCATTCACTCACATGCAATAATTCTACTGTCTGAGGGCGAAGAATTCATAAAGGCGAATACACATGATATTCCTTAAATCGTGTACATTTACCAATATGGTATCAGGGATGTCTGGGGAGGAATTGGTGGATCTTATTTCGGTTTCATTGTGTTGTTTGTTTTGCGCCGCTTGTTTGACAAATCTCAAGATCATGCAAGTAAACAAAACAATTTACAGTTTTTGCTGTAGCAGTATGACCCTAGAAGCAACATTGCAATACAAGGGTGGGTGCGTGTGTAGACGAGATACAGTCTACACTTAGTCGTTCCAGTACATTGCATCTCTGGGGTGTATGTAGCCGAGGTACAGTCAACACTTAGTCGTTACAGTACATTGCATCTCTGGGATGTGTGTAGCCGAGGTACAGTCAACACTTAGTCGTTACAGTACATTGCATCTCTGTGGTGTGTGTAGCCGAGGTACAGTCAACACTTAGTCCTTACAGTTCATTGCGGTGAAGTGCAGTCAACACTTACTTAGTCGTCCCATGCAACAGTACATTGCATCTTCGGGGGGGGTGGGGATGGGGGGTGTAGGTGGGGTGCAGTCAACACGTAATCGTTACATGCAACAACAAATTGCATCTTCGGGGGAGGGGGGATGGGGGTGTGTGTAGCCGAGGTACAGTCAACACTTAGTCCTTACAGTACATTGCATCTCTGAGGTGTGTGTAGCCAATATTCAGTCAACACTTAGTCGTTACAGTACATTCCATCTCTGGGGTGTGTGTAGCCGAGGTACAGTCAACACTTAGTCGTTACAGTACATTGCATCTCTGTGGTGTGTGTAGCCGAGGTACAGTCAACACTTAGTCCTTACAGTTCATTGCATCTCTGGGGTGTGTGTAGCCGAGGTACAGTCAACACTTAGTCGTTACAGTACACTGCATCTCTGAGGTGTGTGTAGCCAATATTCAGTCAACACTTAGTCGTTACAGTACATTGCATCTCTGGGGTGTGTGTAGCCGAGGTACAGTCAACACTTAGTCGTTACAGTACATTGCATCTCTGGGGGGTGTGTAGCCAATATACAGTCAACACTTAGTCGTTACAGTACATTGCATCTCTGGGGTGTGTGTAGCCGAGGTACAGTCAACACTGAGTCGTTACAGTACATTGCATCTCTGGCGTGTGTGTAGCCAATATACAGTCAACACTTAGTCGTTACAGTACATTGCATCTCTGGGGGGGGGGGGGGGGGGTGTAGCCGAGGTACAGTCAACACTTAGTCGTTACAGTACATTGCATCTCTGGGGTGTGTGTAGCCGAGGTACAGTCAACACTTAGTCGTTACAGTTCATTGCATCTCTGGGGTGGGTGGGGGGTGTAGCCGAGGTACAGTCAACACTTAGTCGTTACAGTACATTGCATCTCTGGGGGGGTGTAGCCGAGGTACAGTCAACACTTAGTCCTTAAAGTACATTGCATCTCTGAGGTGTGTGTAGCCGAGGTACAGTCAACACTTAGTCCTTACAGTACATTGCATCTCTGAGGTGTGTGTACCCAATATTCAGTCAACACTTAGTCGTTACAGTACATTGCATCTCGGGTGGGGGGGGGGGGGTGTAGCCGAGGTACAGTCAATACTCAGTCGTTACAGTACATTGCATCTCTGGGGTGTGTGCAGTCGAGGTGCAGTCAACACTTAGTCGTTCCATGCAACAGTACATTGCATCTCTGCGGGGGGTGGGGGTGGGGGTGGGGGTGGGGGGTGTAGGTGAAGTGCAGTCAACACTTACTTAGTCGTCCGATGCAACAGTACATTGCATCTTTGGGGGGTGTGGGGATGGGGGGTGTAGGTGGGGTGCAGTCAACACTTAGTCGTTACAGTACATTGCATCTCTGGGGGGGGGTGTAGCCGAGGTACAGTCAACACTTAGTCGTTACAGTTCATTGCATCTCTGGGGGGGGGGGGGGGGGGGGGGTGTAGCCGAGGTACAGTCAACACTTAGTCCTTACAGTACATTGCATCTCTGGGGTGTGTGCAGTCGAGGTGCAGTCAACACTTAGTCGTTCCATGCAACAGTACATTGCATCTTCGGGGGGGTGGGGGTGGGGGGTGTAGGTGGGGTGCAGTCAACACTTAATCGCTACATGCAACAACAAATTGCATCTTCGGGGGAGGGGGGGGGGGGGTGCAGCCGAGGTGCAGTCAACACTTAGTCGTTCCATGCAACAGTACATTGCATCTTCGGGGTGTGGGGTGTGAGGGGGGGGGGGGGGGGTGCAGCCGAGGTACCGCAACAGTACATTGCATCTCTGGGGTATCACTCGGTAACACACACACTAACCACCCCCCACCCCCCACCCCCACCCCCACAATTACGTGCATGCCATCAATTAAGCAGACAATTGCGTAGTCTAATTAACGTCATCATGACTAAATCGGTTTCTCGTTGCATTCTGTTTACCAGTGACCAGTGTGAAAACATTATCACAGCGGTTGACTGTTTAACAGACGTGATCTGAAATAGGAGGATTCCGGTGCAAACTAGATCCAATGTATCCCTTCCTACGCGTAATAATAGGGGGGGGAAAGAGGATCGGGTGATCATAGTGTTACCATTTGTCTGCCTCGCCAAGGATCTATTAATTACAAACCGCTCAAAATGTCTCACCAACTAATCTGAATTAGATATAAAAAGTGACTTTAATGCGACGTATATTTATTTAGACACACACGTAGGTCACGTTGCGGATCGTAATTTACTTTCATATAAACCCTGATAAGAGCTGTACTAACATTTCTTTTAGTTAATGCTGCATGTTTAAGCATGAAACGTGTCGACCAATACCAACCGAACGTCGATCGGTACAGCGTGCCAGAAATGTCACTTCTTAGGATATGTCACATAATTAATGACTTCAGCTATAATAATATTTCTCACAGTTGACTGACAGGTAGTGATTTCGACATTTTATTTGACCTTGTAGGAGGCATGTTCTCAGAAACATGAAAATGAAATGGGTTTTTCTCTTTTTTTTCAAAATATGATTGTATCAAAATAATTAATAGAACTCGGAGTAATGAACAGCGGGTGAGGTAACAGAGAAGACAGTTTCTAACTTACCTTCACATTCTGAAAATCTGTATAATGTATGAAAGGTCCACTACGCTTCGTGTACATAGAATATATGTTATGTATATCCAGCCAGTTATCGCGTCACAGCGCACAGTATGATATTACAAAACGGAGTCCTTGAGATAAGGCAGTCAAGTATGAACGTGTTCACAATTCACAGTGGGTAAAGTTTATCGAGCGAGAGGTGAAAATGTTATGTCATGATATTTAAGCTCTACCTTTAATGCTTCAACAAATCAAGCAGTATAATTATACGGAACCCTGTGATATCCAAACCTTATACCGTGTGTTAGCTGTAGTTTTAACACATGAAATAGCTGTATTACTAGTATAAAGTGGGAACACGCATTACAGCGCCGAGTTTTAAACTTACATCATACGCCCGTCTCCACCCGGGAGAGGACTCAAGCACGCTATGAATTGTTGTAAAACGAAACTGTGTTTGCAGGTCGCCGTGATACAGCTGGAATATTGTTGACAGAGGGCATGAAACGAGAAACAAACAACCATATACTTTGGTGACTCAAAAAATAGTTACATTAAACAACGGTTATAACGAACACGCTTGTAACGAACTGACGGATATAACGAACTAACTTTTATAGTCCCGACTATTTGCTGTAGTAATGCTGTATATATGCTTATAACGAACTACGGTTATAACGAACTAAACATAGTAGTCCCTTTGAGTTCGTTTTAACCGTAGTTTACTGTATATATTAATGTGTGTGTGTGTGGGGGGGGGGGGGGGTCCGTGAGAAATATTATGTGTTGAAATACTTTGCTGTTAGGTACAGCTTGAAACGTATGTGTTCTTGACAATACGAGAGTAAATCAGGGACCGTAAATCTTCTCGGCGGGAGTCTTCAGACAACTTAAAATCTAAAATAAACATACGCCGTGGTTCACTACTGATCAGTATGTCAGTACTCGTTCCTGGGTCACATTGACCCAACTATTATCACTGTCGACAAATTGGTAGAAATGCATACTGCTAATCTCAATTTGACAGAACATCAACGAAGCAACTTTACAGTAAATTCCCAATATGTTTCTCGGTTTGTCAGCTCCATACCCTTTGTCCTGGGTCTCACCAAAGGCCTGAGACCTTCCTCTCACAGTACATTAATTTGAAGACACTGCATACAGTTATACGAGAGAAATTGTTGTAATGTCACCGAGAAGATCTGTGTTGTCACTCACACAACCTGTTCAAGGGGACCGAAACTGACACATAGGCTTAAGGGGCCCCAATGAAATGTCCTTTCTGCAGAGGGGGCACGGGTGGCCCAGTCGTCTGAGGCGCCGCGATTCGCTGTGCAGAGTTGCGTTCATTGGGCACGCCAGAAACCTATGATTGTGGGTTCGAATCCCGGCTCGGCCCGATTATGTTTTTAGGTTTGTCAGCACCATACCTGTGCTTGTGGGTTTCACCGAAGTGATAAACGTCTGAGACCTGCATCACTTCGGGCTTTCCTCCCACATTAAACTGACACGCCGCGATATAACTGGAATATTGTTAAAAGCGGCGTTACGCCCAACTCACTCACTCCTTTCTGCTGAAGTCAGCAGCACAGCCTCTCGAGCGGGGGAGGCAGGTCCCGGACGCATAACAATCATCGCAATCCAACACACAAACATATCATAAGAATTGAACGGGAAATTGCTGATACAAAGGGAGACAACTGCAGATGGTTTCAAAATTGACCAACAGGCAAAGAACGTCTTGCTCGGCCTGAACCTGGAAGCTTAACGACAGCCTCGGTAGTACTCGGACAATATACTTGAAACAGATTAGAATGGAATGGAGACATTTAAGCATACACATCAGTCTTAACATTACCATGTCTTATCATACGTGACTAGTTATATTTCGCTTAGTTTAACGTAGCTGGTACATCGATCGAACGTTAACAACCAATTTGAACGATTTCTATAAAATTTGATCAAATGTAACCCACAGTCAGCTGTTAATCACATTATACATTAATATAGGCTACTACCGCTGCCCGGGTACTGCTGCCACCGCTCAAACAAACTTTCCAAAGTCCAATCTGCAAGTTTTACAGCCCATGAAACTGTGAAAAGGTGTGTCAAGGGTTATCTCCCATTAGTTAGACAGCCAGTTGTTAGACAGCCAGTTGTCAGACACTGAAGTAGGGGATTAATTAGGGCAGTACCCACAACAATGGTACAGTCCTACTCAGTGAGGGATTAATTAGGAATGTCTCAAGGTTCATTGTTTGATCTTTCTCTACTTATTTGCTACTTTTTTTATTGTTATAGTTAGTTACTAGATTGCTACTCCAGTTGCTACTCCAGTCGCATGTTGTACTCTGATTATAAGTTATTATGTTAATCCAATATGTAGTGTTTGATCTTTAAAACTTGTGGAAAATGAAGAACTTCTCAACCAGACTACTACTCAAGTTACACTTGCACTTAGCTGCTTGTTATAATAACATTCTTAATATTAAACAATTAATCTTTTACTATCAATTTGCCAGAGTCTACTCAGTTTAACCAACTGTGATATAAATATCATTACTGGCAGATCATATAAAATATATATAAGCAACCACTTAAACTCCCCTACTGGATTGCCAAACAACTTTTTCCCCTTTTCTGAAACACATTAAATGGCCGGGCCGGGCCCGTGTTCCAAATACGCTGCAGTCGAAAAGCGCACGTAAAATCTCCAAAATAAGTAAGTAAGTAAGATCATGGTAGCATTATCAGAATGGCTGGGTTAAGGAAAGTGGAACATATTATGTCACAGAGAGGCACACCTCAGATTCTTCCGGATGGATATCTCTACAACCGAAATCGAGAAAGACAGACCAGCACCCACTGGAGTTGTGTTATCAAGACCTGCACTGGTAGATGCACAACAAGTGACGACTTCCTCCGGAACCGGACTGAGCACAACCATCCACCAGAACATGTCAACAAACTCAAGTTCCTCAGCACGCTTCGAAAGCACGCCCGTGAAGAAACAACCAAGATGCACTCCCTCTACAATGACCAGCTAGCACAAGAAGATGCATATGGCAACGAGATACCCCTTCTCCCTTCCTTCTCCAGCGTCAGCAGTGCCCTTTACAGACATGCCTGCTCTCCCCAGGAATCTCTCGGATGTTGATCTCCTAGGTTCCTGGACTGAGACCATTGATGGACGGCCCTTCCTCCCCCTTAGTGATGGCGTGCACAACAAGATCCTAGCCTTCTCTACCCTGGAACAACTACAAGCCTTGCAGACTGCGGACATGGTGTACACGGATGGCACCTTCACCTCCTGCCCAGACCTGTGGGATCAAGTATATATCCTTCATGCTCGAGTTGGTTCTACATCCTATTCACTTGTCTTCACCCTGTTGCCTGATCGTCAAGCCGCCACCTATGCCAGACTGTTCCGACTCTTGAAGACTGAAGTGCAGCAGAGACTGGACAGACCACTGGAAAGAAGCCAACTCGTCCAGGTCAACTTTGGAGCAGCACCTTCCAGCCGCAAGCGAGTGTATCGCGAGATCGACAACCGGATCATCAGATTGAAAGACCATCTTGGTCAGAAGACTCCAGTTCAGTTTTAAGATGCTGTGGGCCACCTCCTGAAACTTGCCTAAAGACCTTAGTCTGACAACAGGATGAACCGAGGATGACGTTGTGTACATATCATGACTAAATTTCATATATGTGTAAATACATCTGATTTAACAGCCAAATCTGAGATGAACGTTTATAAAATAAGTACATCTGGTTTAACACGTCTTTTTGTTTTGTTATATCTTGATGTTTGGCTATGGGTCATTCCATTATCAATCAAGGTAACAGCATTTTGTTGTGCACTCAACCAGAAAAGTTGTTATTTTAAGGTGTCTAACAACTGGCTGTCTAACTTATGGGAGGACACCGTGTCAAGCTTGTCAATTAAGTTGCTGTAGGTCACTGTTAGGCAAGACACGGATCGAGTAGCTACTCCGATAGGTCTAGTTTGGATGTGCATTTCTACGGGGTTTTTTAACTAGGATGGGTCGTGAACGATCATTCAATCAAGATCGTTGACGTTTCTCAATGTATGCTAAACTGCTGAGTCCAATATTAAAAGGGCTAAATGATCAGAAACAACACACTTCTGTATGCATTCGTGCTAGGGAATTCCCAGCGGGTCCCCCAGGAATGTGCAAGTAGTCCGTCAGTGTTTACGTTATTTCAAGAATACGGTCTCGTGAAAAAAAGTGTGAACGTCAAATGTGTCCTTCATACACTTATGAAAGTCAATTTCACGATCATGTGACCGACCTCTCGTCCAATGGAAAAGCCGTATATCGTGTAAACTTCACATTCAAAAAAATATTACATTATTCAGAGGATTAACACTTTGTTCATTTGTCGTTAGTGACCATGAGTGAGTGAGTGAGTATGTTTTTATTCCAGCATATTCTAGAATTATTCTAGCAATATCACGGCGGGGCACACTAGGAATGGGCTTGACACATTGTACCCATGTCGGGAATCGAACCCGGGTCTTCGGCGTCACGAGCGAACGCTTTGAACACGAGGCTACCCGACCGTCCTTGTGACCATGAGCTGGGTGAAACTGTTCAAGGCGGCTTTAATCAAACTCTCTCACTTTTGTGTTGATAGACTGTTGTGAGAGTGATATTCGTTTTAGAAACCCATATATCTTAACACCGTTAAATGCAGTTGTTTGAACGTCTTGACAGAGCAGTGTGAGCAGAAGGCATTTCACGGCGTTAAATGTCTGCTAACAGACAGAGATTGGTTGTTCAGTTTGTTGTTTCACGCCGCACTCAGCAATATTCCAGCTATATGACGGCGGTCTGTAAATAATCGAGTCTTGACCAGACAATCAAGTGATTAATAGCATGAGCATCGACCCAAGCAATTGAGATCGATGACATGTATCAACCAAGTCAGCAAGTCAGATTGGACTTTGGAAAGTTTGTTTGTTTGTTTCTGGTTTAACACCACACGCAGCACTATTCCAGCTATATGACGGCGGTCTGTAACTAAGCCATCGATCCATGCAATTGAGATACGATGACATGCATCAACCAAGTCAGCGATCCTGACCACCCGATCCCGTTAGCCGCCTTTTACGACAAGAATATTCGCCT